TGGCTTGGGTAGGTGGAGGTGTTTTTGTAAATTTTTAAACTTTTATTAAGAAAGGTAATTGTTAATGTTTTGAGTTGAATTGAATATGATTTGATTTTGAAGAGAATTTTGAATATTAAAACCAAAATGCATTTTGATAGGATTGGATAAAATAATAGGATACCATAGTGGAAAAGTAGGGAAACAAACAGAGGGAGAATTATCTTGATCTATGATTAAAAAACTCTTGACATTTCAAGAGCCACAGCCTTTGATCATATAAATACATAATTGAAAAACTGATCTCAAACAAGAAGTGAAGACATCAAACTTCATAACGACAATAATCAACAATATTTATGAATAAGTGTAAATTGATTGAAGTTATACACGTATAACTTGAACATTCTGCATTTTGTCATACAGGATTCAAATTATTTTGTCATTGGCAGAATTTTAAAGTAAAGTGGGAGACAATTTCAATGGCCATTATGCATGCAGGTACTTTTTCAGGGTCAACTACTGTTAAACTCTTTGAGATAATCCATTTTCTTTTTTAACCACATAGCCTGTTTCATGAGATCAGCAAGTTATATAAATGAAGTAGAATAGTTAAAGTTGAAAGACTCAGACAAAACTAGGTTAGGAAGGCCTTTGCTAAAGGGAATGCTCGCAATCACCATATCATGACCAGATTAGGCGTCTTTATCACCTAGTCGTACACCATACACTCGATAACAGCTCCCATTATGTGCAGTAAATGCTACAGCTAGCTTTTACAGAACACTAATAAGCGAAGTTAATATGAAGGCAACTTTTTCCTGTCCAAAGTCTATGTGGGGATGTATGTGGGGTTTTAAGTCATTTGCATACACCACGCTAAAAAAGGGCTTCTTTTTGATGAATCCAGTGACTAATAATAGAACACCATATCATGACTAATAACAAAACACCACACAATCACCATATCATAACCAGATTAAGCGTCGTTATCATCTAGTCGTACACCATACACCTGATAACAGCTCCCATTATGTTCAATAATTGCTACAACTAGCTTTTACATAACATTAATAAGCGAAGGTAATATGAAAGGCAACTTTTTCCTGTCCAAAGTCTGTGTGGGGTTTTAAGTCATATGCTAAAAAAGGGCTTCTATTTGATGAATCCAGTGACTAATAACAGAATTGGAGCAAGAGATAATGTTACCACGCCATCCTAGTATCATCCCGGTACCATAACTATTATTAGAAATTGAGAGGGTGTTCTGATACCAATTGTTGGAAATTGAGAGGATGCTCTGATACCAATGGTTTGGAATTGGGAGCAAAACAACATAAACAGAAGTGATGAACACGAAATTTTTCGGAAAGAAAAACATCCGACTCCATTATTTTATTATTCAACTTCTATCTCTCAATTAGATTAAAACCAACATTTTTCCTTCTCTTATATAGAAAGAGATAGCAATCCTAAAACTAAACAAAATCTATTCTCCTACTTAAACATGGAAAAGGAATAATAATCCTAAAATAAAACAATATTATCTCCCCTATTTTAACTCAAAAAAATATCCTTCCTAAAATAACAATTATCCTAAAACAAATCTTCTAAATACAGGAAATTTAACTCAAACTGAATGTCTTGGAGCTAGAACGCACGCCGCGACATACTTTTTCCTTGCCCTCACTACTTTTCCTCGTTTTGAGTTTCTACTTAGTGCATGCCGCGACAACCTTGTGGTCAGCTTCCTCAAGCATTATGGTCATCTTCCTCAAGCATTCGTCTCCCAACTTTGCAGCTTAACTCTTCATCAACTAACAAAAAGTGCTCACATTCCAACACTTCTCCTTGAACATTTTTGGTAGTGAACTTCAAGCATGTTCTTCAAGGCTTCTATATCCAATCAATTTTGAATGCCTGCATGGCTCTATATGCCTTCATGGCTCTTCGTGCCTTCATGGCTTTTCATGCCTAACTTACAGCCAATCTGTTGGTGTTTGAGCTTATGCCGAATGTACAAAGAAAAGGAGAACTGAAGAGAACTAATCCACCTTTCATTAGTCAACAAGAACTGAATATAACATGCCTTTGCTTACTGTTACAACCACTGTCAGTAAGACTTTTACATAATAGTAGCTAATCCAAACAAATCCAACAACTACATTACATATAGGAGACACAAAACCTCAAAATAAGCTGAGTTTACCTAAGCCAAATATAACACAAAAAGTTGACAAATCATCCTAAACTACTGCAATCAGAACAGGACCATGCACGCCATTTCTGTTTGCATCAAAAACATCTTCAAACTTTGGTTCCTGCAAAATGCATTTCCAATACAGCATCAACCTTCAACATTCCTCCTTGATGCTTTAGTTGGGAACACCAAGTTTTAGTCTTATGGTTTCAAACTTGGATTTGGATAATGCCTTTGTCATAATGTCAGCAACTTGCTCATCTCCCCTATAGTTCACTAAGCTCACTTCACCACCTTGTTCAGCTTCCCTTATAGCATGATACTTGATCTTGATATGCTTAGTTCTGTTGTGGAGTACAAGATTCTTTGCCATGGCCATAGCTGACTGGTTATCACACAAGATTAATGTAAGACCACCTTACACTTGCTTCAAATCATCTAGCATCTTTCTAAGCCACATAGCCTGATTTACTATGGCTGCAGCAGAAACATATTCAGCTTCAGCAGTAGACTGTGCCACAGTCCCTTGCTTCCTTGACAGCCAGCAAATTGCACCTTGATTCAAATAGAATACATAGCCAGAGGTGCTTTTTGCATCATCCAGGGATCCACCCTAGTCACTATTAGTATACCCCAACAACTTTAGACTTTCGGATTTCCTAAACCAAATGCCTAACATGATGGTTCCTTTCACATACCTCAACACACGTTTAGCATCCTTAAAATGCAGTTCACTTGGGTTGCTCATGAACCTGGAAAGGTAACTTGCAGTGTACATAAGGTCAGGTCTGGGGCTGTGTAATATAGCAAACATCCCACTAAACTCTTATATTTCCCTTCATCCATTCTCTCTGCACCATCAGTTTTGCTCAGTTTCAAGTTGGGAACCAGTGGGGTATCCACTGGTTTACAATTCTCCATTCCAAACTTCATGAGAATCTCGGTTGCATACCTCTGTTGGCACACAAAAATCCCACCTGTAGTCTGACTTATCTCCATGCCTAGGAAGTTTTCATCAATCCCAAATCTGTCATTTCAAATTCAGTTTGCATGGCTAACTTATACTGGTCCAACTCTTTAGAATTGCTCCCTGTTACCAATAAATCATCAACATAGAGAAAGACCACAGCCAAACCTCTTTCAGTTTTCCTAATGTAGAGAGTGTATTCATTAGGATTTATAGTGTAACCAAGGCTACACAAATGGTCATTTATTCTGCTATACCAGGCTCTAAGGGCTTGCTTCAAACCATATAATGCTTCCTTAGTAGGTACACATGATCCTCTTTTCCCTCAACCTTATAGCCTTCAGGTTGCTCCACATAAATCTCTTCTGAAATCCACCCATTTAGGAATGTTGATTTGACATCCAATTGAAAAATTTTCTAGTTAAATTGGTCTGCAAGTGCTAGTAACATTCTGATTGTGTCTTACCTGGCTACCGGGGCAAATGTGTTTGAAAAATCAATGCTTGGTTATTGTGCAAAACCCTTAACCACTAGCCTTGCTTTGTGCTTGTGGATTGAGCCATCGGGATTGATTTTCAACTTGAAGATCCATTTCACCTGAATTACTTTCCTTGTTTTAGGTCTAGGTACTAACTTCCAGGTTTGGTTTTTATCAATCATGTTAAGCTCCTCCTATATTACAGCCTTCCACAATTCAGACTTGGCTACTTCATGATAATTTCTTAGTTCCACCACTGCTACATTACACCTTTCGTATACATCAGCCAAGGATCTAGTCCCTCTTACAGCATGCTCTTCATCCTCATCAAAATCTGCCACTCAGAACAGCCCTTCATTCATCTCTTCCTGTCTTGATTCAGCCTGCACATCAATTCTTTTCTCTTCCCAGTTCCAAACTGCACTTTCATCAACCTTTATATCCCTTGTAATTATAATCTTACTTGACTCAGGAATATAAATTCTATAGCCTTTAGTGTAGCTACTGTAACCTATGAATATCCCAACTTCAGCCTTGTCATCCAACTTAGATCTCTTGCTTGCTGGAATCATGACATAGGTTATGCTTCCAAACACTTTCAAACTCCCCACAACTGGTTTGACTCCACTCCATGCCTCAATTGGTGTTTGGTATTTGATTGCCTTAGTGGGCAGCCTATTCAGGAGAAAAACTGTTGTATTAACAACCTCTGCCCAAAACACTTTAGGAAGTTTCTTCTCAGCTATCATACACCTGGCCATTTCCATAATGGTTTTGTTTCTTCTCTCACAAACACCATTCTGATGAGAAGTGTATGAGGCTGTGAATTGATGTTGAATTCTAGCTTCATTTCAAATTGTGCTGAATTCATTTGAGGTGTATTATGTCCCATTGTCACTCTTTATGGTCTTGATCAATGTTCCAGCTTCATTCTCCACCAGCAACTTGAATTGTTTAAACACAATAGCCACTTCATTTTTCTGCTTCAGAAAATACACCCAGGCCACCCTTGAATAATCATCAATGAAGAGTACAAAGTATCTACTGCCATTTAAAGATTCAGTCTTCATAGGACCACACACATCAGTGTGGATCAATTGCAGTTTGTGACTTGCTCTCCAGGCTTGATCTGAAAGGAATGATGGCCTGCTAAGTTTGCCAAGTTGGCAGGCTGTGCATAAGGTCCTTTTCTCCTCTATTTCGGGCAGATCCAACACCATGTCTCTTGACTTGAGTTCTTTAATTCCAAAGTAGTGAAAATGGTCAAGCCTTTTATGCCACAATTCTGACTCTTTAACCCTGTTGGTTAGTGCTAAACTCACTGATTTTTTCCACTCTACCGGGAAGCTTTTTCCCAGCATTCTAACACTCATTAATTAATTTTCCTCAGAATCCTTTATAATGCAAGCGTGGTTTTGAAAATGTAAAGTGTAATTCTTCTCTAACATTTGAGCTATACTTAACAGATTTTGTGCAATTTCAGGAACAAATAGAACACTTGAAATAATCTTAGTACCTGCCTGAGTTTGGACTGCCACATCTCCAATCCCTTTTGCTTCCACATAGTCACCATTTCCAACCTTGACATTGGAGTTGTAGGTTCTGTCTAGCCTAACAAAGTTCTCCAAACTTGCTACCATGTGGTTAGTACAACCACTGTCAATCAACCAAACATCACCGCTGGTCTGCATTGAGTAGCATAAAGCTACAAATAACTGCTCAGATTCACTGCTCTTGCTGCTGATCTTCTGCAAGTTGTGCTTGCTGTGATGGCTGTGCACCTTTGTTCTTGCACACCTTTTCAATGTGCCCAAACTGTTTGCATCCTCTACACTGGATCCCAGGTCTAAACCAGCACCTATTCTCTGGATGTCCCTTTCTTTTGCAGTGAGAACATGGTGGATAATTCCTTCTTCCACTCGGTTTTCCCCCCTGTCCACCAGTTCTCTCTTTCCTCTCTTGTCTCCAGCATACTTCCTATTACTTCCCTGCATGCTAATTCCCTTTTGAGCAGCCAGAGCAGCCATCATTGCAAATTCATTGGAGTCCTCTTGTCTCATCAACCTTCTTTGTTCTTGAGCCTGCAGAGCATAGACCAATTCGGTGAGGCTGATTTGGGAGAGGTCCTTTGAATCTTCTAGGGAAGATATCTTGGACTCAAACCTTTTGGGTACGCTAACTAACACTTTCTCAACTATCATCTTATCACTCATCTCAACTCCCAACAATCTAATCTTATTCACCATACTCATAAGCCTGTCTACATATCTTTAACCTTCTCCATCTCATGCATTCTTAACATCTCAAACTCTCTCCGCAGGTTCATCACGTGCATATTTCTGGTTATGTCACTTCCCATGAACTCCTCCCTCAATCTATCCCATGATTCCTTTGCAGTTTCACACGCCATTATCCTTGTAAACACAAGGTCTGTTACTGCAGAGTGTATATGAGAAAGGGCTCTTGGAGCTTTTGACATCTCTTCCTCATACATCCTCATCTGATTCCAAAGTTAGGTTTGGACCAAGCTGTGGTGGGTTTCTCTCTTCCACATACTGCCACAGCCCTTGCCCCTTAGGTAGCTTTCATTCTAACAGCCCAAATATGATATTGTCCCCATTAAATACTGGGTGAGAGAGAACCGACTAAGGTGCCTGGAAATCAGATTATAGTTTTAAGGAAAAATTTGTTCTTTCGGAAGGTTGAAGTTTAATGGTGATTTGCAGGTTGATTTTTTGAGTTTTCTTAGATGATGGTTTGTTAATCAAGCTCTGATACCATGTTGGTGTTTGAGCTGCCGATGTACAAAGAAAGGAGAACTGAAGAAACTAATCCACCTTTCATTAGTCAACAAGAACTGAATATAACATGCCTTTGCTTACTGTTACAACCACTATCAGTAAGACTTTTACATAATACCAGCTAATCCACACAAATCCAACACTACATTACTATAGGAGACACAAAGCCTCAAAATAAGCTGAGTTTACCTAAGCCAAATATAACACAAAAGGTACAAATATCCTAACCTACTGCAGTCAAACAGGACCATGCACGCCATTTTTTTGCATCAAAACATCTTCAAACTTTGGTTCCAGCAGAATGCATTTCCAGCACAACAACCTTCAACACAATCTTACTGCTTTGCTGCCAATTCTGCAACCAATCTAAAGTCATCTTGCTACCATTCTTACAACCAAATTTGCTGTCCAATTCGTTGCCTTCATGGCCAACCTTGTAGCCATCTTCTGCAATACTTGCTGATTTCTTCTCCCTTCGAACTTCTGTTGGAATGGCTTCACCCTCTATCTTCAGTTAAAGTTGTCTTGCACAACCATTTGTTGAGTAAAGCATGCTCTTCGGCATCTTCTTTTTAAATCGTCAAGTCTCTCATCGTTCTCTCTCGCTGAAACTATATCCATTATGTATAATCTTTTACATTATTTGAGTAGATGTAGAGAAAGGACAGATTGATTATTTGTTGCAGTTTCTGAATGAGAATAAACATTTTTGTTTTTTTTTTTTTTTCTTTTTCTTCTTTTAATTTAAGACATGAGAGTTTTGTTGGGATATTATGGCTCGCTTTCCTATTTGTTCCCATGTAAATTATTGTCTTTAAGAAAACTATTTAATAAGAATACAATTGTAAATAGGTAGAATTTAAAAAATCCTATTAGAAATTAAAATATAAATCCTATTAGAAATAGATGTCTCATATGCTATCTATAACTATATATAGAATCAATTCAAGGTTATGAGAGAATGTGAGAACATAGGTTTTTGATATAAGGTTATTAAGCATCATGGAGAGTGTCTTAAAACTATGATTGTTTTAGCTCTAGGTACTGGGTTAAGCATGGTTAAAAACTAGACTGTTTCTACTCTATTATTTATATATCAGGTTTATGGTATTGTGTACTCTTATATTTGTGTTCATGAAATTATAATAATTTCTTTCATCCGTAGATATAGGCGGTTATGCCAAACCACATAATATCATAATATCGTATCTCTTGTATGGTTGATTTTATTCCTTTTATTTATCTCTAAAGTATATTTTTTGTTGCGTCATCTCGATCCTAACAAGTTTGAGATTGGTAAAGTTGATGGTGCAATAATTTAGCTCAGTTAGTGGATTGCAAGTTTAATGCGTACACAATAATGTGTCCTATTTCTCTGCTTTATCAGTAGATTTTTGGCTGATATGACACAGACAGTAGGGTCTTGCAGTAAAGATGATTCCATTTTTTCATCAAGGCAGCGACTTTACGATCAACGAAATTTACCAGCCTCATGATATGTCACAAATTCTTTCGTTTTTATGAAATTAGAATTCAATTAAACATCCCATTTTTCAAATCTACAAATGGTTGGTGCACATTATCCATGAAACTTAAAATAATTTCATAAATGAATGTAACTTAAAATAATTGCAATGGCCGTAGTACAAATCTCTGGTAAATTTTACTTCTTACATTGCACAAACAAATACGTAAATGAAAAGCTAACCTCAATCAACAGGTACATCGAGCTGTATACGACAATAATCAATGGTACCAATAATTAATTTCAACTCATTTACAGCTATTCAAAACGTGATACACAAAGTATGGTGACAGAGGGTGAACCATCAGATCGGCTAGCATATTTTTTTTTTTTTTTTTTTTTGGGTAATGAGCTTACATAAAAAGGAATCAATACCAAAAATAAAAGAAAAAAGATGCATAACATGCAGCATAAAAAGAAAACGTAACACAAAATATTTAATCCAATTCATTCACAATCTTCTTTTTTTTCAGAGAAGATAAGACATGGGAAGGACTGTTACCAAGTCCTCAGTTCCTGAAACAAAGTCTAACACTAAGAGCATTGCTGATGGTGATTCTTCTGTACTTCTGTTGTTATTCTCAGCACTTTGTTTCCATCTGTGGTTCATTTGCTTACGGATGTACAGTAAGTGTACCCCATTAATTATCAGGTTAACAGCATAACTTTATATCCTCATTTGGTCATCAATTTGAGCTCTGAATTAATGGATGATATCTTTTTTCCCATAAAAGGGAAAATTGTTCATTAAAATTCTGAGTGTAATGTGGTCATGCATAAACTAAATATAGGGTATTAAGGACCACATTGATATCTGTTGTCTTGTACAAGGAATTTTAAGTCATTCATTCCAAATTCTCTCCTTAGAACTTCAAGCTCTAAATGGCTAAAAAAAATAATCTAGGCCACTGTACCGATTGGTTCTTGACTGAGCGAATGGTTGATTATGGCTTTGCAGGCAGGATATTCATCACCTGCTGAATCTGGAATCATGGAAGACCTGCAACTTTCTGTGGCTGCAGTAAGCTTTTTCTTCCAAGAGTAAAATCCCAACTTGGACAGACACACACACACACATCAATACATAGGGCAACCGTTATGTTAAATTAGGCAACCATAGAACAAACAAGGCCATGATTTACCTTGTGTTAAAGAAACTATAATTATAATGAAATGTTCAAGGAAAGGTTGACACCAATTGACTCTTATTAGTGAATCATCTTGATAAATCGAACTCATTATCTTCCATTCATTATACTTGCAGGTATATCATGCTCCATATAATTGACCATCTCTCTTCTCTTTTTACTAGGCATGTCAGTTTTTGGTTCACTGACAACGGTTGGGGAATAATAGTTTCATTTATGAAGGGGATTATACCTGTCTCATCGGTCGAAAGGAGTAAGTTAATATATTACACTACGAATTTCTAGAAAAATTTTCCTCTTTACCACTTTTAACCTTTGTTAATATTATTCATTCAACTTCCTATAAAGCAGACAATGTGGTTGTCCGAATACTCTGCATTTTTGGATGGCTTGCAAAGCATTCTCAAAGGTTTCTTATCTTTCCCTTCTCTCCCTTCCCACAAATTATGGTAATTTGATTTGCTATCTACTGCTTGTGTCACTAGTTTGAATTGATTCTAAAAGGATCATGTTTGAATCAACTACAATCCTGCTCTATCTGATTTTTATCTGTTTGTTTCATTTTATGCTGAAAAAGGGTGCTGTGTTTGCTTGATATCGGACGACTTTCAACGGATGGTGGCTGGAATAATTGCTTATGTGGTAAGAGTTGTTACAATCTCATTGTAGCTCAATTCTCATGTAAGGTGTGTGAGCCCTTATATCACTTTATCAATACAGGTACCTATATAATCGCTGAAATAACCCCAAAGGATGTTCGGGGAGGATTTACACAAGCTAGCCAGTACATTTAAATCATTGCGAACTTAGTGTTATTGATTCAACAATACTTACAGGAATACACTTTGTCAAGTACGCAGCTCATGATGACTTGTGGCTTTTCATTAATGTTTTCCTTGGAACGATTGTTTCTTGGCGCACACTGGCCTTTATTGGTAACTTCTAGCCATTCAAATGTTATTTGCAGGAAATTATCTTAAAGCTTTAGGTACGCATAAGAATTTGTTAATATTTCCGTTTCATTTCATTTCAGGTTCTGTTCCATGTCTATTGCAAGTTTTCGGCTTATTCTTCATACCAGAATCTCCTAGATGGCTGGTAAATCCTATTAAGAATTTAAATATTCTTTTCGGGCAATATAACATATTTTTGGAAGAAAAAAAAACATGTGTGGCTAAACTTATTTTCTTCGAATTCCTCAACATATTAAAAACAACTATAACATCTTCGTTTTTCTACGGCCAAGATTGGACGAGAGAAAGAGTTAGAAACTACTCTACAGAGTTTTAGGGGAAAGAATGCTGATGTTTCTCAAGAAGCAGCTGACATCAAAGTAATTTTATTTCCAACTTATTTTATGTGTACTACATCAACAGACGAAATATTGTTTTGGAAATTTTGTACCTTGTTGTAACAATGGAAAGGAAGAACATTATCTATCATTTTCTTCATCGATACATTATATTCCCTTTTTTATAGTTTAAGGGTAAAACTAATAACTACACTTAGCAGTTAAGAGAAATTCAAATTCATAATTTAAAAATAACGCAATTCAGTTTTATCTAAAATAACTAATTCTTTGGCCATGCCTTCTTCCTCGCTCTTTCTCTTCATCGTGTCTTCCTCTTCTACCAAGGATTCAAACTTCAACACTCGTCCTTGAATCTTTTTGGTAGCGAACTCCAAACGTGTTCTTCACTTCACAGCCTTTCATGCTTTCAAACCACACTGCAGCCAATCTTGCTGCAAAACATGTTGACTCCTGCCCCCTCCAATCTTCCTGTTGGAGTGGTTCTTTTCCAATCTTCTATTGGAATGGCTCTTCCCAATCTTCTATTGGAGTGTCTTCTTTCCTCCAATCTCTATTGGAATGGCTCTCCTCCAATCTTCTAGGGAGTGTCTTCTTTCTCCATCTCTTCTATTGGAATGGCTTCTCTCAATCTTCTATTGGGATGTCTTCTTTCCATCCAATTTTCTATTGGAATGGCTCTCCTCCAATCTCCTGGTGGAGTGTCTTCTTTTCCATCCAATTTTTGTTGGAATGGCTCTCCTCAATTGTGCTATTGGAGTATCTTTTCCAAACTCATCTCCACAAGTCCCTTGGAAAAAAAAGCTCTGATACCATGTTGTAACTATGGAAGAGGAAGAAAACATTATCTATTTATTTTCTTCGATCCATACTTAATACATTCCCCCTTTTTATAGTTTTAAAGGGATAAAACTAAATAACTACACTTAGCAGTTAAAGGAAATTCAAATTCATAATTTAAAAATAACTGCAATTCAGTTTTATTTAAAACTGAAATTCTTTGGCCATGCCTTCTTCCTCGCTCTTCTTCTCTTCTTCTTCATCGTGTCTTCCTCTTCTACCAAAAGGATTCAAACTTCAACATACCTAACTGGTGTAAGAACAATAACTGATGATCCCACTGTTGTACAGGATTATACAAAGACCTTTGAGAGGGACTCGGAAGCAGGAATTTTGAACATGTTCCAGCGAAGATATGCTTATTCACTCCTGGTGAGTCCTGGTATCTATATCTGTATTTAGGTAATTGATAATCCCCTTATGTGGATGTAGTTGTTCCTCTGAGCTCTGTATGGCTTATATTTTCAGATTGGAGTTGGACTGATGGCCTTGCAACAGTTAGGAGGTTCAACTGCAATTGGATATTATGCCAGCTCAATATTTGAAGAAGCTGGTAAAAAAAAATAAGAATTCATATTGCTAAAAGTATCTAATAAAATTGAATGAAATGATGATATGAGCAGCATTTTATTTGCTACAGATTTTTCAACCAGCTTAGGAACTGTATCAATGGCTATAATTCTGGTATTTGACTCTGAAACACATGTGGGATTCTTTTCCTTTGCAATATTCAGGCATGTGAAATTGTTTTGCAGATTCCAGCTTCCTGTGTATCTACACTACTTATAGATAAATCTGGAAGACGACCCCTTCTTTTGGTAAAATTGGCAAACAGTTCATTATAAGTTACTGATTCAGTTGGAAAACAATTTTATGGTGACTATTTTATGACTGCAGGCTTCTAACAGTGGAATGTGCTCATGTTTTCTCATAATGGCATTAGCACTCTGTGTGCAGGTTTTAGAAACTTCTACTCTTCTAAATTTGTTCGCAATTCGGTCTGTCATATTTATAATGTATATTGTTTAAATTCTTTTGTGTAGGATTTTCACCCTTTCAAAAATGTCACTCCTGTGGTGGTATACGTTTGCATGATGGTAATATATCGTAATTTTTACCTTAAGTATCAATTACAGTTATCAGCTTATTTCAGATGGTTTGCTGTAAATACTGTTCCGCACTGTATATAGTGAACTTTGCCTGATTAGCATAGCAATGTAAATTTTATGCTTCTTCTGTCTTTTTTCCCCTAGATCTTATACTAGTGTAGAAGGAATTTGGACATCTTTTACAGATCTTTATTCATTCTATCTTCATCATCTTTGGAAGAGTTTTAAATACATCAGTTTGAGCAAATCGTGACTAATAGATACTAAATTTTGCTCTCAGGGTTATAATATTGCCATGTCTTTAGGCATGGCAGGGATACCAAGTGTCATAATGTCTGAGGTATGTATGTGACTATATTGAGCACACTCTACATCTTTTCATAAATTTATTTACAGGACCTGATCAAGTAATTGGGCTGCATTCCAGATATTTCCTATAAACATCAAAGGTTCAGCAGGAAGCCTCACGACAATAGTTCGTTGGTTCTTCGCTTTTCTTTCTTCTTACACTTTCAATTTTATGATGCAATGGAGTCCCGCTGGTAACTAAACACCCCTGCTTCTCATCCTCTCTCCTTGTTGATCTTCTTTAATACTTTCACGACCATATTTGTATTGGCTGCTCTCTCCGGTAGGTACATTTTTCATATTTGCCGGCATTTGCGCTTTAGCTGTTCTATTCGTTGCAGTTCTGGTACCAGAGACCAACGACCGAACACTCGAAGAAATTCAAGCATCACTTACGTATCTTCCTGAATGAGTATGGTGAAATAATAAAAGAGAAAAGCTTGCTGAAGTGATCTTAGCCTTGGAAGGCTGGACAAGGTCTGGACAATTTGTTGTCAAAAAATAATAAAATGTGTGATTTGCTATTTTTTTGTACTCAAAAACTGCTTTGCTTACTGTCACGGATTTTTTTTTTTAAAAGAAGCAATGTGTGCTAAGGAAATGATTTATCATCCTTCAATAAAGAAGAAATATTGTTGTTAATTCCCTTTGAGGCATGAAATCTCTTACATGTTTGGTTCCCTGTTCTTTTTTTTTTTTTTTTCTTTTTCTTTTTTGTGATTATGTGTACAGGAATATTGTATGGCATGAAGGTTCTTGAATTTATTAAAAATTGAGCTTTTGACCTTCCATTTCACAGTCTGCAATATATTAGATTAAATGCTGGGATTCAGCAGATCAAGCCTTGTGATGAACCCAATGTTTCACTATGAGATATATAACTAATTATAATCAACATGTGTTTAAATATGTTAATGACTGACTTTAAAGATACTTCCAATGTCGATGTGGATCAATTAATTAATGTTTCAGGAAATTGAATTTTCAGAATTCAAGATGCATCACCATGACAGGATGCATTTATTATAAATTTATAATATATACTAAAACAATCTAAGAATGGCATATTGATGGAACTATGTGCTGATCTGAATGCACTGGGATCATTCCAACTCATCAAACACAAGCTTCTTTTTCTTTCAAGAAAATAAGACATGGGGAGGGAAAGCATGGAGGAAGGACTATTACCTAGGTCCTCAGTTCCTGAAACAGAGTCAACAACTAACAGCATTGATGATGGTGATTCTTCAGTTACTTATGTTGTTGTTCTCAGCACTTTGGTTTCCATCTGTGGTTGCTTTTGGATTTTAAAGTTAGTTGACTTTGTATGATTGAATTTCAAGTCCACTTAGTTCAAGCCTAATTTTCTACTCAGAACTTCAAGCTCTGTGTTTACCAGAATGGTTTTTCTTGATTGACCTAAATATTGATCATGGCTTTGTAGGGAGGATATACCTCACCTGTTGAATCTGGAATCATGAAAGACCTGCAACTTTCTGTGGCAGCGGTAAGCTATTTCTTTCAATAGTAACATCGCAACTTCATGCATGCACATGCCTAGATACACATGCAAATCAATTCGCTTCACTTCACTTCTGTGTGGTATATATGTTTTGCTCCATATGATTGACCATTTCATTTCTATTTTCATTTCACGATGCAGTATTCAGTATTTGGTTCATGATAACAGTTGGAGGAATAATAGGTTCATTGACAAAAGGGACAATGGTTGATCTCATCGGTCGAAAAGGTGTAAGTTATTCTATTAAAACCTGAATTTCTGATCATTTTTTCCTTTTTGATTACTTTTCACCTCTGTTAATAGCAATCAATCAAACTCTTATCCAAACAAGGACTATTTTCCAATTAGGCGTGGGAGGGGTACCAAGTGTCATAATATCTGAGACGTGATTATATCGAACTGTACATCTTTTCACAAATTTATTCACAGGAACTGATCAACAAGCCAATGACCTGATTAAGGGTTCAGCGGGAAGCCTTGTGACATTAGTTCGTTGGTTCTGTGCTTTTCATTCTACTTACACTTCAATTTTATGATGCAATGGAGTGCAGCTGGTAACTAAACATCCCTCATCACCCTACCCCTGCTTCTCATCCTCTCTTTGTTGCTCTCCTTTTATACTCGCACAAAAATTTATGTACTGGCTACTCTCTTTCGCAGGTACATTTTTCGTATTGGCTGGTATTTGTGCTTCAGCTGTCCTATTTGTTGCCTTTTTAGTACCGGAGACCGAGAACCGTACACGAGAAGAAATTAAAGCATCATTAAAGCATTTTCCAAAATGAATATGGTGAAACAGTTATACAGAAACTCCAATAAATGGAATGTAACATTGCTACAACAACTGTAGCCTAATAAGGTGTTAGAATTTCTTGAGCTAAAGGAAAATCAAATATAATTATCATAAATGTTTTGAGAATAGAAATATATTGTCAGTGTGATGTGATACACCAAAGTGCAATTTTACACATATTAAGTTCTGGTATATATTTATCTTATCACAGAAAAGAAGTACTAATTGTTGACTGTATTTCTTCTAGCGTCCGTCCTTTAGTCTCCGGGACCATCTTTGCTATGAATATAACATTTGCCAAATTAACTCCTGAGAAAATGAAAAATGTACCTGCAGCAGTGTGGTAAATTCTGAGCGTTTATTTCTAACCAATGTGTGTCTGAGGCTTTTGAGAAAGAGAGAAAGAGAGAGAGGATAACCTGCAGAGCTCTTGAATCAACTACAATCCTGCTCTATCTGATTTTATCTGTGTTTCATTTTAATGCTGAAAAAGGGTGCTTGGTTGCTTGATATCGGACGACTTTCAACGGGATTGGTGTGGAAAATTGCTTATGTGGTAAGAGTTGTAACAATCTCATTGTAGCTCAATTCTCATGTAAGGTGTGTGAAAGCCCTTATATCACTTTATCAATACAGGTACCTATATATATCGCTGAAATAACCCCAAGGATGTTCGGGGAGGATTTACACAAGCTAGCCAGGTACATTTAAATCATTGCAGAACTTAGTGTTATTGATCAACTAGATACTTACAGGAATACACTTTGTAAGTACGCAGCTCATGATGACTTGGCTTTTCATTAATGTTTTTCCTTGGAACGATTGTTTCTTGGCGCACACTGGCCTTTATTGGTAACTTCTAGCCATTCAAATGTTTATTGCAGGAAATTATCTTAAAGCTTTAGGTACGCATAAGAATTTGTTAATATTTCCGTTTCATTTCATTTCAGGTTCTGTTCCATGTCTATTGCAAGTTTTCGGCTTATTTTCATACCAGATCTCCTAGATGGTGGTAAATCCTATTAAGAATTTAAATATTCTTTTCGGGCAATATAGACATATTTTTGGAAGAAAAAAAAAAACATGTGTGCTAAACTTATTTTCTTCGAATTCCTCAACATATTAAAACAACTAAATTAACATCTTCGTTTTTCTACAGGCCAGATTGGACGAGAGAAAGAGTTAGAAACTACTCTACAGAGTTTTAGGGGAAGAATGCTGATATTTCTCAAGAAGCAGCTGACATCAAAGTAATTTTTTTCCAACTTATTTTATGTGTACTACATCACAGACAGAAATATGTTTTGGAAGATTTTGTACCTTGTTGTAACTATGGAAGAGGAAGAAAACATATCTATCATTTTCTTCAATCGATACATAATATATTCCCTTTTTTATAGTTTTAAAGGGATAAAACTAATAAACTACACTTAGCAGTTAAGAGAAATTCAAATTCATAATTTAAAATAACTGCAATTCAGTTTTATCTAAATAACTAATTCTTTGGCCATGCCTTCTTCCTCGCTCTTCTTCTTCATCGTGTCTTCCTCTTCTACCAAAAGGATTCAAACTTCAACACTCGTCCTGAATCTTTTTGGTAGCGAACTCCAAAGCGTGTTCTCCCTCACAGCCTTTCATGGCCTTTCAAACCAAACTTGCAGCCAATCTTGCTGCCAAACATGTTGACTCCTGCCCCCTCCAATCTTCCTGTTGGAGTGGTTCTTTTCCAATCTTTATTGAATGGCTTCTCCAATCTTCTATTGGAGTGTCTTCTTTCCATCCAATTTCTATTGGAATGGCTCTCTCAATTCTATTGGAGTGGCTTCGTTTCACAATCTATTGGATGGCTCTCCTCCAATCTTCTATTGGAGTGTCTTCTTTTCCATCCAATTTTCTATTGGAATGGCTCTCTCCAATCTGGGTGAGTGTCTTCTTTCCATCCATTTTTGTTGGAATGGCTCTCCTTCAATTTGTCTATTGGAGTATCTTTCAAACTCATCTCCACAAGTCCCTTAGGAAAAAAAGACTCTGATACCATGTTGTAACTATGGAAGAGGAAGAAACATTATCTATTTATTTCTTCTTGATCATACATAATACTCCCCTTTTTATAGTTTTAAAGGGATAAAACTAAATAACTACACTTAGCAGTTAAAGGAAATTCAAATTCATAATTTAAAAATAAGCAATTCAGTTTTATTTAAAACTGAAATTCTTTGGCCATGCCTTCTTCCTCGCTCTTCTTCTTCTTCTTCATCGTGTCTTCCTCTTCTACCAAAAGGATTCAAACTTCAACATACCTAACTGTGTAAGAACAAAGATGATTCCACTGTTGTACAGGATTATACAAAGACCTTTGAGAGGACTCGGAAGAGGAATTTTGAACATGTTCCAGCGAAGATATGCTTATTCATCTGGTGAGTCCTGGTATCTATATCTGTATTTAGGTAATTGATAATCCCTTATGTGGATGTAGTCGTTCCTCTGAGCTCTGTATGGCTTAATTTTCAGATTGGAGTTGGACTGATGGCCTTGCAACTTAGGAGGTTCAATGCAATGGATATTATGCCAGCTCAATATTAAGAAGCTGGTAAAAAAAATAAGAATTCTATTGCTAAAAGTATCTATAAAATTGAATGAAATGATGATATGAGCAGCATTTTTATTGAACAGATTTTTCAACCAGCTTAGGAACTGTATCAATGGCTATAATTCTGGTATTTGACTCTGAAACACAGTGGGATTCTTTTCCTTTGCAATATTCAGGCATGTGAAATTGTTTTGCAGATTCCAGCTTCCTGTGTATCTACACTACTTATAGATAATCTGGAAGACGACCCCTTCTTTTGGTAAAATTGCAAACAGTTCATTATAAGTTAGTGATTCAGTGGAAAACAATTTTATGGTGACTATTTTATGACTGCAGGTTCTAACAGTGGAATGTGCTCATGTTTTCTCATAATGGCATTAGCATTATGTGTGCAGGTTTTAGAAACTTCTACTCTTCTAAATTTGTTCGCAATTCGGGTCTGCATATTTATAATGTATATTGTTTAAATTCTTTGTGTAGGATTTTCACCCTTTCAAAAATGTCACCCGTGGTGGTATACGTTTGCATGATGGTAATATATCGTAATTTTTACCTTAAGTAATCATTACAGTTTATATTCAGATGGTTTGCTGAAATACTGTTCCGCACTGTATATTGAACTTTGCCTGATTAGCATAGCAATGTAAATTTTATGCTTCTTCTGTCTTTTTCCCCTAGATCTTATACTAGTGTAGAAGGAATTTGGACATCTTTTACAGATCTTCATTCTATCTTCATCTTTGGAAGAGTTTTAAATACATAGTTTGAGCAACGTGACTAATAGATACTAAATTTTGCTCTCAGGGTATAATATTGCCATGTCTTTAGGCATGGAGGGATACCAAGTGTCATAATGTCTGAGGTATGTATGACTATATTGAGCACACTCTACATCTTTTCATAAATTTATTTACAGGACCTGATCAAGTAATTGGGCTGCTTCCAGATATTTCCTATAAACATCAAAGGTTCAGCAGGAAGCCTCACGACAATAGTTCGTTGGTTCTTCGCTTTTCTTTCTTCTTACACTTTCAATTTTATGATGCAATGGGTCCCGCTGGTAACTAAACACCCCTGCTTCTCATCCTCTCTCCTGTTGATCTTCTTTATACTTGCACGACATGAGAGTTTTGTTGGGATATTATGGCTCGCTTTCCTATTTGTTCCCATGTAAAATTATATGTCTTTAAGAAAACTATTTAATAAAGAATACAATTGTAAATAGGAATAGAATTTAAAAATCCTATTAGGAATTAAAATATAAATCCTATTAGAAATAGAATGTCTCATATGCTATCTATAACTATAGGAGTAAGAATCAATTCAAGGTTATGAGAGAATGTGAGAACATAGGGTATTTGATATAAAGGTTATTAAGCATCATGGAGAGAGTGTCTTAGAAACTATGATTGTTTTAGCTCTAGGTACTGGGTTAAGCATGGTTAAAAACTATGACTGTTTCTACTCTATTATTTATATATCAGGTATATGGTATTGTGTACTCTTATATATTGTGTTCATGAAATTATAATAAATTTCTTTCATCCGTAGATATAGGCGGGTTATGCCAAACCACATAAATATCATAAATATCGTATCTCTTTGTATGGTATGATTTTATTCCTATTTATTTATCTCTAAAGTATATTTTTTGTTGCGTCATCTCGATCCTAACAAGTTTGAGATTGGTAAAGTTGATGGTGCAATAATTTAGCTCAGTTAGTGGATTGCAAAGTTTAATGCGTACACAATAATTGTCCTAATTTCTGCTTTATCAGTAGATTTTTGGCTGATATGACACAGACAGTAGGGTCATTGCAAAGCAAGGCAGGCGACTTTATGATCAACGGAAATTTACCAGCCTCATGATATGTCACAAATTCTTTCGTTTTTATGAAATTAGAATTCAATTAAACATCCCATTTTTCAAATACTACAAATAGTTGGTGCACAGTATCCATGAAACTTAAAATAATTGCAATAATTTCATAAGTGAGATGTAATTTAAAATAATTGCAATGGCCGTAGTACAAAATCTCTGGTAAATTTTACTTCTTACATTGCACAAACAAATACGTAAATGAAAAGCTAACCTCAATCAACAGGTACATCGAGCTGTATAACGACAATAATCAATGGTACCAATAATTAATTTCAACTCATTTACAGCTATTCAAAACGTGATACACAAAGTAGTGGTGACAGAGGGTGAACCATCAGATCGGCTAGCATAATTTTTTTTTTTTTTTTTTTTTGGGTAATGAGCTTTACAATAAAAAGGAATCAATACACAAAAATAAAAGAAAAAAGATGCATAACATGCAGCATAAATAAGAAAAACGTAACACAAAATAGATTAATCCAATTCATTTCACAATCTTCTTTTTTTTTCAGAGAAGATAAGACATGGAGGAAGGACTGTTACCAAGGTCCTCAGTTCCTGAAACAAAGTCTAACACTAAGAGCATTGCTGATGGTGATTCTTCTGTTACTTCTGTTGTTGTTCTCAGCACTTTGGTTTCCATCTGTGGTTCATTTGCTTACGGATGTACAGTAAGTGTACTACCATTAATTATCAGGTTAACAGCATAACTTTTATATCCTTATTTGGCCATCAATTTGAGCTCTGAATTAATGGGAATGATATACTTTTTTCCCATAAAAGGGAAAATTGTTCATTAAAATTCTGAGAATGTAATGTGGTTTGCATAAACTAAATATAGTGTATTAAAGGACCACATTGTATATCTGTTGTCTTTGTACAACGGAATTTTAAGTCAATTCAGTCCAAATTCTCTCCTTAGAACTTCAAGCTCTAAATGGCTAAAAAAAATAATCTAGGCCACTGTTTACCAGATTGGTTTTCTTGACTGAGCGAATGGTTGATTATGGCTTTGCAGGCAGGATATTCATCACCTGCTGAATCTGGAATCATGGAAGACCTGCAACTTTCTGTGGCTGCAGTAAGCTATTTCTTCCAAGAGTAAAATCACAACTTGGACAGACACACACACACATCAATACATAGGGCAACCGTTATGTTAAATTAAGGCAACCATAGAACAAAACATAGGCCATGATTTACCTTGTGTGTAAAGAAACTATAATTAATAATGAAATGTTCAAGGAAAGGTTGACACCAATTGACCATTATTAAGTGAATCATCTTGATAAATCGAACTCATTATCTTTCATTCATTATACTTGCAGGTATATCATGCTCCATATAATTGACCATCTCTCTTCTCTTTTTACTATGCAGTATTCAGTTTTTGGTTCACTGACAACGGTTGGAGGAATAATAGGTTCATTTATGAATGGGATTATACCTGATCTCATCGGTCGAAAAGGAGTAAGTTAATATATTACACTACGAATTTCTAGTAAAAATTTTCCTCTTTTACCACTTTTAACCTTTGTTAATAGTATTCATTCAACTTCCTATAAAGCAGACAATGTGGTTGTCCGAATTACTCTGCATTTTTGGATGGCTTGCAATAGCATTCTCAAAGGTTTCTTATCTTTCCCTTCTCTCCCTTCCCACAATAATTATGGTTAATTTGATTTGCTATCTTACTGCTTGTGTCACTAGTTTGAATTGATTCTAAAAGGATCAATGTTTGAATCAACTACAATCCTGCTCTATCTGATTTTTATCTGTTTGTTTCATTTTAATGCTGAAAAAGGGTGCTTGGTTGCTTGATATCGGACGACTTTCAACAGGGATTGGTGCTGGAATGATTGCTTATGTGGTAAGAGTTGTTAACAATCTCATTGTAGCTCAATTCTCATGTAAGGTGTGTGAAAGCCCTTATATCACTTTATCAATACAGGTACCTATATATATCGCTGAAATAACCCCAAAGGATGTTCGGGGAGGATTTACACAAGCTAGCCAGGTACATTTAAATCATTGCAGAACTTAGTGTTATTGATTCAACCAAATACTTACAGGAATACACTTTGTCAAGTACGCAGCTCATGATGACTTGTGGCTTTTCATTAATGTTTTTCCTTGGAACGATTGTTTCTTGGCGCACACTGGCCTTTATTGGTAACTTCTAGCCATTCAAATGTTTATTGCAGGAAATTATCTTAAAGCTTTAGGTACGCATAAGAATTTGTTAATATTTCCGTTTCATTTCATTTCAGGTTCTGTTCCATGTCTATTGCAAGTTTTCGGCTTATTCTTCATACCAGAATCTCCTAGATGGCTGGTAAATCCTATTAAAGAATTTAAATATTCTTTTCGGGCAATATAGACATATTTTTGGAAAAAAAAAAAACATGTGTGCTAAACTTATTTTCTTCGAATTCCTCAACATATTAAAAACAACTAAATTAACATCTTCGTTTTTCTACAGGCCAAGATTGGACGAGAGAAAGAGTTAGAAACTACTCTACAGAGTTTTAGGGGAAAGAATGCTGATGTCCTCAGAGCAGCTGACATCAAAGTAATTTTATTCCAACTTATTTTATGTGTTCTCATCAACAGACAGAAATATGTTTTGGAAGATTTTGTACCTTGTTGTAACTATGGAAGAGGAAGAAAACATTATCAATCTTTCTCAATCGATCACTATATATTCCCTTTTTTATAGTTTTAAAGGGATAAACTAAATAACACACTTAGCAGTTAAGAGAAATTCAAATTCATAATTTAAAAATAACGCAATTCATTTTTATCTAAAATAACTAATTCTTTGGCCATGCCTTCTTCCTCGCTCTTCTTCTCATCGTGTCTTCCTCTTCTACCAAAGGATTCAAACTAACACCGTCCTTGAATCTTTTTGGTAGTGACTCCAAAGCTGTTCTTCACTTCATGGCCTTTCATGGCTTTTTCAACAAACTTGCAGCCATCTTGCTGCCAAACATGTTGACTCCTGCCCCCTCCAATCTTCCTGTTGGAGTGGTTCTTTTCCATCCATTCTTCTATTAGAATGGCTCTCCTCCAATCTTCTATTGGAGTGCTTCGTTTCCATCCAATCTCTATTGGAATGGCTCTCCTCCATCTTCTATTGGAGTGTCTTCTTTTTCCATCTATTCTATTGAGTGGCTCTCCTCCAATCTCCTGGTTGAGTGTCTCTTTTCCATCCAATTTTTGTAGAATGGCTCTCCTCTCATTTGTCTGTTGGAGTGTCTTTTCCAAACTCATCTCCCACAGTCCCTTAGGAAAAAAAGAGCTCTGATACCATGTTGTAACTATGGAAGAGAAAAACATTACTATTTATTTCTTCGATCCATACTTAACATTCCCCCTTTTTATAGTTTTAAAGGGATAAAACTAAATAACTACACTTAGCAGTTAAAAGGATTCAAATTCATAATTTAAAAATAACCGCAATTCAGTTTTATTTAAACACTGAAATTCTTTGGCCATGCCTTCTTCCTCGCTCTTCTCTCTTCTTCTTCATCGTGTCTTCCTCTTCTACCAAAAGGATTCAACTTCAACATACCTAACTGGTGTAAAACAAAACTGATGATCCCACTGTTGTACAGGATTATACAAAGACCTTTGAGAGGGACTCGGAAGCAGGAATTTTGAACATGTTCCAGCGAAGATATGCTTATTCACTCCTGGTGAGTCCTGGTATCTATATCTGTATTTAGATAATTGATAATCCCCTAGTGGATGTATTTGTTCCTCTGAGCTCTGTATGGCTTATATTTTCAGATGTAGTTGGACTGATGGCCTTGCAACAGTTAGGAGGTTCAACTGCAATTGGATATTATGCCAGCTCAATATTTGAAGAAGCTGGTAAAAAATAAAATTCATTGCTAAAAGTATCTATAATTGAATGAAATGATGAATGAGCAGCATTTTATTTGCTACAGATTTTTCAACCAGCTTAGGAACTGTATCAATGGCTATAATTCTGGTATTTGACTCTGAAACACATGTGGGATTCTTTTCCTTTGCAATATTCGGCATGTGAAATTGTTTTGCAGATTCCAGCTTCCTGTGTATCTACACTACTTATAGATAATCTGGAAGACGACCCCTTCTTTTGGTAAAATTTGCAAACAGTTCATTATAAGTTACTGATTCAGTTGGAAAACAATTTTATGGTGACTATTTTATGACTGCAGGTTTCTAACAGTGGAATGTGCTTATGTTTTCTCATAATGGCATTAGCACTCTGTGTGCAGGTTTTAGAAACTTCTACTCTTCTAAATTTGTTCGCAATTCGGTCTTCATATTTATAATGTATTTTGTTTAAATTCTTTTGTGTAGGATTTTCACCCTTTCAAAAATGTCACTCCTGTGATGGTATACGTTTGCATGATGGTAATAATCTGTAATTTTTACCTTAAGTATCAATTACAGTTATCAGCTTATTCAGATGTTTTTGCTGTAAATACTGTTCCGCACTGTATATAGTGAACTTTGCCTGATTACGAGCAATGTAAATTTTATGCTTCTTCTGTCTTTTTTCCCCTAGATCTTATACTAGTGTAGAAGGAATTGGACATCTTTTACAGATCTTTATTCATTCTATCTTCATCATCTTTGGAAGAGTTTTAATAACACAGTTTAGCAAACGTGACTAATAGATACTAAATTTTGCTCTCAGGGTTATAATATTGCCATGTCTTTAGGCATGGCAGGTACCAAGTGTCATAATTCTGAGGTATGTATGTGACTATATTGAGCACCTCTACATCTTTTCATAAATTTATTTACAGGACCTGATCAGTAAGGGGCTGCTTCCAGATATTTCCTATAAACATCAAAGTTTCAGCAGGAAGCCTCACGACAATAGTCGTTGGTTCTTCGCTTTTCTTTCTTCTTACACTTTCAATTTTATGATGCAATGGAGTCCCCTGGTACTAACACCCCTGCTTCTCCATCCTCTCTCCTTGTTGATCTTCTTATACTTACACACCATATTTGTATTGGCGCTCTCTCCGGTAGGTACATTTTTCATATCTGCCGGCATTTGCGCTTTAGCTGTTCTATTCGTTGCAGTTCTGTACCGAGAACCAAGGACCGAACACTCGAAGAAATTCAAGCATCACTTACGTATTCCTCGAATGAGTATGGTGAAATAATAAAGAGAAAAGCTTGCTGAAGTGATCTTAGCCTTGGAAGCTCTGGACAATTTTGTCAAAAAATAATAAAATGTGTGATTTGCTATTTTTTTGTACTCAAAAACTGCTTTGCTTACTGTCACGGATTTTTTTTTTAAAAGAAGCAATGTGTGCTAAAAATGATTTATCATCCTTCAATAAGAAGAAATATTGTGTTAATTCCCTTTGAGGCATGAAATCTCTTACATGTTTGGTTCCCTGTTCTTTTTTTTTTTTTTTTTTTTTTCTTTTTTCTTTTTTGTGATATGTTGTACAGATATTGTATGGCATGAAGGTTCTTGAATTTATTAAAATGGAGCTTTTGACCTTCCATTTCACAGTCTGCAATATATTAGATTAAATGCTGGGATTCACAGTCAAGCCTTGTGATGAACCCAATGTTTCAAATAGATATTACTAATTATAATCAACATGTGTTTAAATATGTTAATGACTGACTTAGATACTTCCAATGTCGATGTGGATCAATATTAATGTTTCAGGAAATTGAATTTTCAGAATTCAAGATGCATCACCATGACAGATCTTTATTATAATTTATAATATATACTAAAACAACTAAGAATGGCATATTGATGGACTATGTGCTGATCTGAATGCACTGGAGATCATTCCAACTCATCAACACAAGCTTCTTTTTCTTTCAAGAAAATAAGACATGGGAGGAAAGCATGGAGAAGGACTATTACCAAGGTCCTCAGTTCCTGAAACAGAGTCACCAACTAACAGCATTGATGATGGTGATTCTCATGACGTATGTTGTTTTGGTTGTTCTCACCTTTTGGTTTCCATCTGTGGTTGCTTTTGATTTTAAAGTTAGTTGACTTTGTATGATTGAATTTCAAGTCCACTTAGTTCAAGCCTAATTTTCTACTCAGAACTTCAACTGTGTGTTAACCAGTATTGGTTTTTTTTGACTGGCTGACCAATGATTGATCATGCTTGTTTCACCTCTGTTAATAGCTTCAATCAAATTCTTATCCAAACAAGGCTATTTTCCGACTGAATTTTATTTACTATATTTTTTAGCATCTTTCGTTTTGAAATATATCAGATTGTACAAATATAACTGATAGATCACATCTGCACTCAGGGTATATATAATGTTGCTAACCAATTAGGCATGGGAGGGATAAAAGTGTCATAATATCTGAGACGTGTTATATCGAACTGTACATCTTTTCACAAATTTATTCACAGGAATCGTCAACAAGCCATTGACCTGAATTCCAGATACTTCCTATAAACATTAAGGGTTCAGCAGGAAGCCTTGTGACATTAGTTCGTTGGTTCTGTGCTTTTCATTCTACTTACACTTCCAATTTTATGATGCAATGGAGTGCAGCTGTACTAAACATCCCTCATCACCCTACCCCTGCTTCTCATCCTCTCTTTGTTGCTCTCTTCTTTTGTACTCGCACAAAAATTTATGTACTGGCTACTCTCTTTCGCAGGTACATTTTTCATATTGGCTGGTATTTGTGCTTCAGCGTGTCCTATTTGTTGCCTTTTTAGTACCGGGAACCAAGAACCACACTAGAGAAGAAAGCATTCATTAAGCATTTTCCAAAATGAATATGGTGAAACAGTGCAGACAACAACGGAAGTATCCAACGTAAGGTGTTAGAATTTCCTGAGCAAGGGAAAACAAAAATTATCAAAGGAGAAAAATAGTGCAGGTGTGAGTGATACCCACCAGTGTGCATTTACACATATTAACTTCTGGTAATATTTATCTTATCACAGAAAAGAAGTACATTGTTGACTGTATTTCTTCTAGCGTCCGTCCTAGTCTCCGGGACCATCTTTGCTATGAATAAACATTTGCCAAGACTCCTGAGAAATGAAAAATGTTCCTGCAGCAGTGGGTAAATTCTGAGCGTTTATTTCTAACCAATTGTGTGTCTGAGGCTTTTGAGAAAGAGAGAAAGAGAGAGAGGATAACCTGCAGAGCTCCATTCCATCATAAAGTTGAAAGCGTAAGTCAAACCCAAGAGCATGATCAGCTGACAAAGGTCACCAGGCTTCCACCTGTGGCCTTGACATTCATAGGAAATATCTGAAATAGAAATACTTCCTTGAATATATGCTATCACCTTGTTTAAGTTAAATTCATGTGCATAAATTTCATAAATGATACGGGGTCCGAATGAAGAAGCTATTTACCTCGGACATTATAACCCAAGGAATTCCTGACATGCCAACAGAGTTAGCTAGAGTATTACCCTATTGTCGTAGAGATTAGTTGACACACAATTTTGTTGATAATATCTCAAATTTATGGATTTAGCAAATTATAATATACGAAAAATCAGCAAGAGCATTGAATTTATGTTTTTTTGATGGATTACCAATAAGCTAATAAGCACCAAAATAGGAGTGAGGTCCTCCAAGTGGGAATTCCCTGTCCATCAAGTACTCTAAATGTTTAGAAGACACTAAAAACAAGAATTTGTGATTTGTGAAAACAAGAAGCAAAATAGATGGTGATGAGTAATGGAATGATGTTTAAAACATTCGGTAAATCTGGAAACAGAATGCCAATCCTATAAGGAGAGACAGATGCACATTCCAGCACTGAAATCTGAAAAATTTGGTAAACATTGCTTATTGATTGTCAATGAAACATGAATGTTTAAAAAATTCTTCTGCTATTCCACCAACAGGAGGAGTGGTTTTCTTCCTGCTTATCAATTAATAGGACTCCACAACTGTTGCTGGAATCTGCCAAAGATATGTATCAAAAATAGAAATACGATTAGGAGAATCTGGATTTGGTTATAACTAAGAGTCTAGTGACTACCGCTGCATAGCCACTAATGCCCTCCAAGGCTAGTGAAAACACCTATGGAAAATCAGATATTTGAATTAGAAATCTCTTTTCCTGTACGTCATATAATCATTACCCAAAACCTGAAGGATAATTACCAGCTTTTTCGAATGTACTATCAGCTAATATGTCATACCACTAACTCCTGCTAATTGCTGTAGGAACACAGAGGCCAACTCCGATCTAAAAGTTTAATTCCATGGAAATATGGAAAATCATGAAAATGAAAGTGACAGATTCAGATATATTTGATACTCACAAGGAAAAATTGGTGTATCCCCTCTGGAACAGCTCCAAATATCAGTTCCTGAGCCCTGGGTAAAGGTTTCAAAATTTTCCTACAAACCAGAAAAATACTTGTAATACCTCAAGTTGAAGTTGAATTCTACATTAGAAAGATAAAAGTGGAAAATATACTCTAATATCAGCTGCTTCTTGGAGAAATGTCACATCTCTCCCCTGAGGCGCTGCAATGCTGTTTCAAATCCTTTTCTCTAACACCTTGTGCCTCAAAATATATATTGCACTTATCCTTTGTACTCAGAACTCCTATCAAACTGCTTTCGCAACATTAAAGCTGAATAACTCACCAGCCCCTAGAGACTCGGAATGAAAATAAAGTTAAATTTGCAACAGGCATAGATTAGCACCTGAGGAAATGAAACAAAGTATCTTTGACTGATTTTAGATTAAAGTAACACAATACAGCAGGGAAATTTTTAACACTAGACCCAATGTGCGCCAGAAATGTCATTTCCAATGAGAAATACAGGTGAAAAGCCGAATGTTTCATCAACTGTCACACTTAAAAAAAATAGAACTCTGCATGTATCCACCAAATAACCTATTGATTGAATTGTTTCTATTATTGTTTATGTTACCTGAGTGAATGCAGTAAATACTCCTCGAAGATCTCTGGTGTTTTATTTCTGCAATATATACGGTTACCTTTTTTTGGAATAAAGAATGCAACTGTCATTGGTGACACAACTAATGATCAATATGAAATGAAAAGCATTAATTTGTTACTTGCCACATAAGAAAAAGTCCAACGCCAAACCTATAGAAGTCTTCCCAAATCCAGCCACAGAACATCCTTGCGATGAACAAGAATTATAGATCAATTCATAATCATCTTACTGATACACTAGTGTAGAAGAATGGTTATGAAAAAGGACAGAAGGGAAAAAGAATTAAACTTGGCGACACTATAGCAAACCACCAGGTACAAAATATTTCAGAGAACAGCATAGCCCCTTAATGAGATCAACAAGTTACATAAGGGACAAGAAGGTTAAGTTTACTGATAAGAGAAACTTAACTATACTTACAGTCTCCTCCTAATATATCAGCTACCTGCCACTTAATATGGCACCAAGCATTCCTCCAACAGTCATTATTGAACCAAAACCTGAATACTGCACAATAATCATCAAGGTAAGCATAAAAATAACTAGGATAATCCAATCCAATGCAGAAGAATTATAAGTTGATACAATGTTAAAATTGACCAGGAGAAACAAGATGATATATTGTGCATTGCCTACATTTGAAGAAGCAATAATGTTTATGCTTGTTAAATGTAAAAGAACCATAGTTTTAAGCTAATGAAAATCATATAATTATCGTAAATGTTTCGGAATAGAAATATATTGTCAGTGTGATGTGATACACCAAGTGCAATTTTACCATATTAATTCTGGTATATGTTTATCTTATCACAGAAAAGAAGTACTAATTGTTGACTGTATTTCTTCTCTAGCGTCCGTCCTTTAGTCTCCGGGACCATCTTTGCTATGAATATAACATTGCCAAGTTAACTCCTGAAAATGAAAATGTTCCTGCAGCAGTGTGGTAAATTCTGAGCATTTATTTCTAACCAATGTGTGTGTGAGGCTTTTGAGAAAGAGAGAAAGAGAGAAGGATAACCTGCAGAGCTCCATTCCATCATAAAGTTGAAGTGTAGTCATAACCCAAGAGCGACCAGACAAAGGTCACCAGGCTTCCACCTGTGGCCTTGACATTCATAGGAATATCTGAAATAGAAATACTTCCTTGAATATAGCTATCACCTTGTTTAACTTAAATTCCATGCATAAATTTCATAATGATACGGGGTCTCGAATGAAAGCTATTTACCTCGGCACTTATAACCCGGAATTCCTGACATGCCAACAGAGTTAGCTAGATATTACCTGTTGTCGTAGAGATTAGTTGACACACAATTTGTTGATATATTGCTCGAATTGATGGAGATTTTAGCAAATTATAATATCACGAAATCAGCAAGAGCTTGAATTTAGGTTTTTTGATGGCTTACATTTTAAGGCCAAAAATAGCGCCAAAATAGAGTAGTGCTCCAAGTGGGGAATTCCCTGTCCATCAAAGTACTCTAAATGTTTAGAAGACACTAAAAACAAGAAGGCTTGTGATTTGTGAAAACAAGAAGCAAAATAGATAGTGATGAGAGAAGTGGAATGGTGTTTAAAACATTTGGTAAACCTGGAAACAGAATGCCAATCCTATAAGGAAGAGACAGATGCACATTCCAGCAGCTGAAATCTGCAAATGTTTGGTAAACATTGCTTATTGAATTGTTGATGAACAACATAAAATGTTTGAAAAAAATTCTTCTGCTATTCCAACCAGGAGGAGTGGTTTTCTTCCTGCTTTATCCATTAATAGGACTCCAACAACTGTTGCTGGAATCTGCCAAAATATATGTATACAAATATAAGAAATACAATTAGGAGAATCTGGATTTGATTATAACTAAGAGTCTAGTGACTACCGCTGCAATAGCCACCAATGTACTTCCAAGGCTAGTGGAAACACCTATGGAAAAAATCAGATATTTGAATTAAAAATCTCTTTTCCTGTACGTCATATTATCAGTAACCAAAACCTGAAGGATAATTACCAGCTTTTTCGAATATACTATCAGCATAATATGTCATACCACTAACTCCTGCTAATTGCTGTAGGAACACGAGGCCAACTCCAATCTAAAAATTTTTAATTCCATGGAAATATTAGGAAAATCATGAAAATGATAGGTGACAGATGTAGATATATTTGATAGGCTCACAATGAGAAAATTTATGTATCTCCTCTGGAACAGCTCCAAAGATCTAGTTCCTGAGCCCTGGTGAAAGGTTTCCAAATTTTCCTACAAACCAATGAAAAATACTTGTAATTACCTCAAGTTGAAGTTGAATTCTACATTAGAAAGATAAAAAGTGGAAAATATACTCTAATATCAGCTGCTTCTTGAGAAATATCAGCAGTCTCTCCCCTGAGGCGCTGCAATGCTGTTTCAAACTCCTTTTCTCTACCAACCTTTGCCTGCAAATAATATATATATGCACTTGTCCTTTGTACTTAGAACTCCTATATCAAACTGCTTTCCCAACATTAAAGCTGAATTGAACTCACCAGCCATCTAGGAGACTCGGGAATGAAAAATAAAGTTACAATTTGCAACAGGCATGGAGTAGCACCTGGAGAAAAATGAGAACAAAGTATCTTTGACTGAAGTTTTAGATTAAAGTAACACAATACAGCAGGGAAATTTATTACCAACTAGAGCCAATGTGCGCCAAGAAATGTCATTTCCAATGAAGAATACAAGTGAAAAGCCGAGTGTATTCATCAACTGGACACTTAAAAAAATTAGAACTCTGCATGTATCCAACAAATAACCTATTGATTGAATTGTTTCTACTACTGTTTTTGTTACCTGAGTGAATGCAGTAAATACTCCTCGAAGATCTCTGGGTGTTATTTCTGCAATATATACAGGTACCTGTTTTGGAAAAAAGAATGCAATTGTCATTCGGTGACACAACTAAATGATCAAATATGAAATGAAAAGCATTAATTTGTTAACTTGCCACATAAGAAATAAGTCCAACGCCAAAACCTATAGAAAGTCTTCCCAAATCCAGCCACAGAACATCCTTGCAATAGAACAAGAATTATAGATCAATTTCATAATCATCTTACTGATACACTAGTGTAGAAAAATGGTTATGAAAAAGGACAGAAGGGAAAAAGGAATTAAACCTTGGCGAACACTATAGCTAACCAGCCAAGGGTACAAAATATTTCAGAGAACAGCATAGCCTGCTTAATAAGATCAACAAGTTACATAATGGAGAAGAATGGTTTAAGTTTATGGATAAGAGAAACTTAAATAATACTTACAAGTTTCCTGCCTAATATATCAGCTATCCTGCCACTTAATATGGCACCAAGCATTCCTCCAACAGTCATTATTGAACCAAAAACTGAATACTGCACAATTAATCATTAAGGTAAGCATGAAAATAAACAAGGGAATAATCCAATCCAATGCAGAAAAATTTATAAGTTGATACAATGTTAAAATTGACCAGGATAAACAAGATGATATATATGTAGCATTGCCTTAAATTTGAAGAAGCAATAATGTTTATGCTTGTTAATTTTGAAAGGAAACAAAGGCAATAATGGAGAAGCTGAAACAATTAGTACTAACAGCCGCAACAGACAGGCCCAGTTCTTCCATGATGCCAGACTCAGCAGGCGATGAGTAACCCACCTGCAAAACAATCGGAAAAGAGTCAAAAGACCATTGATTTTAGTCAAAGTTATGCTATGCTTTCATAACTTGGATAGAGATAGTCTATTTACCACCCGATGAAATAATGCACATATGAGGCTTATTGATGAGTGGCCCAAAATATTGGGTTGGACTAAACCCCTAAAGATCCACTGTTCGAATTACCCAAACCTGTCCAATTAATACTTGAACAACATTTTGGACTTGGGAGGAATTAGAATGGGCTCATACGAAGTCCTCCTCTTCTGTAAAGTCAATTGATGTGAACCTTCTCATGTTTTAAATTCAATCCTACTGGCTTACTTTTTGTGGATCATGACGCCGAAAACTCTGCTGCAAGGAAAAATAGGCTCGGTAATCTAATGGAATACTTCCATGCTCATAAGGTCACCTATTTTTACAAGAGTCTGAAACTAAATAAATTACCAGCTACTATATACTGTGAGCGTGTGTGCGAGGTCTTTTATACCCATCATGAATTTTCATGTTTGTTCTGACCACGCATGTTTGAAGAACATAAACTAACATTTACGTTCCTAAGTAGTAAGTCCTGTATATACTTACAGCAAATCCATAGCAGGAGTAGCCACACACAGCTACCAAGGTGCTAAACACAAGCATCCCGGTGACAGATGAACTGCTCGGTGGCGGCAGGGACAGCGACTGTGTGTTGCTGCAATCGATCCCGGTGCCATTACGCTTTGATTCAAGCAAAGTTGCTTGCAGTCCTTCTTCCAGGTTTTGTCTCTCCATTTCTTAGCTCTTGCTTTCTTCATGAAAGACAAGGAACAAAAACAAATTATTAAGATGAATGTATGTAATCACATGCAATAAACATCCCAAATAGGATACAACCTCCAAGAGTGCACCCAGTTAAGAGAGAAACTACAACTGAGTATCTGAGGTACTGAAAATGATGAACAAACAAATATTTATAACCTTTCAAAGAAGAAACAAATCCAGTTCATGTCATTAGACTTTTTAATTTTTCGGATAAGGTTCTTTTTCAAACTTTGCGTAAGCCATTTGAATAACATACTCATTAGGTTTCGTACTTCTCCAATCAAAGAAGCTATTCGATCTTTGCGTAGAATCTTGGTAAAGAAATTAAGTGAAAAAGAGTTGACTAACTCTTTAAGGCTACCGACTCTTTGCTCGATCCCCAGACATTAGAGATATAAGAAAGTTGTGTTTAACCGCTTTGATTTTAAGACCTCAACTACCTAACTAACACTCAAAAAAAAAAAAAAAAATATATATATATATATATATATTATTTGACAGGCAAGATGCCTTGCAATAGACTATTTTAATTTTTATAACATTCAGCATGTAAAGATTTTGTTTCAAGATCTACGTTGTTGCATGTTGTCAAAAAGTCTTAGGTTCGTAATCCCCATGCTCTCAGGATTTAAATAGGTGATCATGGTAAAAGACGCAACACACTATAACATATGGGTTTAGTTAAATCTACTAAAACTTTGAAAAAAAAAAAAAAAGTTTTATATTTTATATTATTTACAATTTTGATCCCGTTTAAATTTATATAAAAAAATTAGGAAAGGCTTTATATTTTATAATATTTACAATTTTGATCTCATTTAAATTCATATTGGCCTCACAAAATTTTATTATAAATTTATTAACTTAAATGTTTTGAACCCACTCACTAAAAATTCTGACTATATCCGTGATTATGGTGGTGGATTGCTGTGTTAGTTAAGGGTGTTCAAAAGCGGTTAACCACTTTTCTAAACCAAACCGGATTTTCGGTTCAGGAATTTTCCTGAACCGGTTTTAGGGAAAACCAGTTTTGAACTGGTTTTCCCCTTTTTTTTTTAATTTTGTCCTAAATTTAATTGTAAATATAGACAATACATTGGGAACTAAGAAAAAAAATTTGGGTTGGGATTTTAGATTGCTGCTTAAGAGATTTATTTTATGTTTAGTTACTTAATTTATTTATGTTACTAAGTTACTTATATATTATATACCCGGTTTTCTAAACTGGTTTTTTCAAATATTATATATATCTATAATGTATTTGAAAACCAGTTTAGAAAACCGATTTTCGTTAACCATTTCTAATTTCTTCCGAACGGTTAACCCGAACCAAAATTCTGTTTTTTGAATTTTTCGAACCGTAACCGAACGTTTTTTTTTTTTCGGGTAACAGGTTTTTCGGTTGCGGTTCATGGTTTTTGCATTTTTTGAACACCCCTAGTGTTTAGTCCTTATACTGATTAAATTGATGAAGCACAGCTGGCCTGAACACTATTTCTTTTTTGTTTTAAAAGAATTGTCAAAAGTTATTTTTTATAACATTCATCATGTAAAGATTTTGTTGCATGTTGTCAAAGTCAGTTTCACAACAGACTCGTATCTCATGACTGTTCCGGAATCCCTACGATTTTGTCTCATTTTTTCGTCGTAGTGATCACATTACTCCATATTACAATAGCACCTATATATTTACAAATCTATGAGATATCATATGGTCAACATGAATGAAACAAATTATATATGCAAAGACTATGTGGCATATTCCTATTTCGAATATTCGTTACATGAAAATATTCCTCATGTGTTAATGTAAACCAAGACACATTTTCTTGCTTGTCTCATATAATCTCTAATTCTAGAAGAATAACAAATATTTCCCCCCCAATATTAAACACTCATTGCTTTTTAGTCGTAATGAAAATTATTTAAGCAACAAATACCATATTTTTGAAGATTCGAACGAACCCTATTTAACCTTAACTTTTGTTTCTAAGACAGTTGACTCAACATACAAGATGAATAAATTATATAATCTTAAGAACGTATATTAACAAGACATTTCTTGACTGATAACTGCTAAAGGAATCCCAAGGAAGACCGTAGTAATGTCATGAATATCTGAGGTATGTTATTCTATTTATAAGGGTGAGCACCTGGTGTAATGGTATAATAGGACACTAACGTGGTTACCTATTCTCGGTTCTAGGTAAATTGGAATCGACCTTATTAGGGTTCAGTTTAGTTCTAGAAATTGGAAATCGAGAATTTTCTGGTTGGTTTTGGTTCTTATGTATTAATCGGAACTAGAACAGAATCGGAACCAGATCTGGATACCTGTATAGGAACTGGGATTACTTATAATTTTTTAATTATTAAGGTTAATATTTGTAATTTTTGGCGGTATATTGTTTTTTTTTTTAAAGAAAGGGGTATAAATTCATCCATGTATCTGAACCGAATTTAGTTCTAACAATGTTTTAAAATCTGGTCCAACCTTGACCCGGTCAAAGGCCTAGTCCCATCCAACCGGTTTGACCGGCGGGTTGACCTAGTGTGTCTTGTATCAGAATGCCAAAAAAACTTTTATATATTTGTGGTTGTACCATCTAACACAGGTATAAAATAAAGTAAATAAAATAAAAAAGTTATGTTTTCAGAAATAACCGAAAGTAGAATTAAAAAAGTTGATTGTTTGTTTTCAAAAAAAAAAAACGTATTGACAAAATCATAAATGCGGGGGGCTGTTATAGGTGAATGACATGTTCTTATTAAAAAAAAAAAAAAAACAAACAAAAGATAGAGGAAGTGTTCCAGAAATAACCAAAAGTAAAAAAGGAATGATTGTTTCAAATAAAGTATTGATCAGGAAATTCATAACATGGCGGTGAATCACATGTCCTTGACAAGTCTGGTATATGACATATATAAAATAAGGGTTTTTTTAATATGGAACACCTTCTTACTTAAATAGTTAAAGAGAAGTTTTGTTTTTTTTTTTTTGTTTTAATCGACATTAAAATGAGGGTGTAGTGTTCGTTATTATATTTATATTCTATCTATTTAAATTAGGTTTTATTTGAGCTGGTGGGTATGTCTTTTTTTACTCTTCTCTATAGTCTATTTTACAAATAATTATTTTTATTATTAAAAATATTATTAATTATATTTAATTATTTTAAAACTCTTTAAATTTATTAATTCATGATTGAAACACTTTCAAAAAAATTTTTAAAATTAACAAAAACATATTTACTCACCTCATAATTATCAGATTCTACAATCATATCAATGGTGGTTTAAAATTTGTCCTAAATGACGAAAAATGATTAGAATCTGATGCTATTGGTTCGATTGAGTCATATACGTGATATATTTTTTATCGTCAAACTTTTATGATTGTCCGACAACTGATCTGATCATGATTTAAATCTTTTAAACCAGATTCGTGATGAATATGATATGTCCTATATTTAAAAAAAAAAAAAAGATGTTTTCAAATAAATAAACCGAAAGTAAGAATTCAAAAAGAGAATGATTGTTTTCAAAATAAAGTAATTGATCAGAAAATTCATAAATGACGGTGATACGAGATGTCTTGCACCGAAGATATGAAGATAAGGTTATTTAATATGGAACACCTTTTGTTAAAATAGTAAAAGAGAAGTCATATTTTTTTATAATGGAAAGTGAAAATAATCGGGATGTGTTTATTTTATTATTTCCATCCTATCTGCTTAAAACTGGCGGTTTATTTTATTATTCTTAAAATTTAATTATATTTTATTTAATTTAAAATATTTAAATTTTTTAGTAGTATAGATCCGTTAATTTAACTAAATACCGTTAATAATAAAAATTTATAGATTAATAAAAATATTTTTACCCATCCACAAATTTCTGACAACCGACATTTAATTAATGAATAAGTATATTTTTATTAATTTTAAAACTTTTATTATAGATAATGTTTACTGAACTAACAAATATAGAGAATTAAAAAATAATCATACCAAACACATTTTTAAATTCAAAGTAATGATAATTCAAACTCAATTTTTTAAAAAATGCTACTCAAAATAATAAAAAAAATATATTTCATTTTCGATTAAAAAATGATTTCTAGTACAATTTTCAATGAAACTCCACGCAAGTATGTAAGGTCTGTTTACTTGGCTGACAGAATTTTAAAGCTTTATTCCATTTCTTCAATTATTGTATGCTTGGAAGTTTATAGAGACAAATGAGATCTTGATTGAAATTTTAGTTGGATTTTGATGAAGAAGAAGAAGGTGAGATATGGCTCTGCTACGAGATTGAAGATCTATTGATTCTATTTCTTTAGTCGTTATATGCCTGGAAGTATATAGAAACAAATAAGATTTTGATTGAGATTTTAATTGGATTTTGATGATGAAGAATACGAAGAAGGTGAGATCTAGCTCTGCTTGAGATTGAAGAAGGTGCCAGAATTTCATGCTTTCTTCTATTTCTTCGGTTGTTGGCTTTGTTTGAGATTTAGGATTGGGTTCAATCTTCTTTAGAGTGAAGAATGAAGATTCAAGATGTAGAATTGGAAATTGAAGGATGCACGAAGAAGAAGTGTGGAAAAAAAAAAAAAAAAAAAAATCAATTTTAGCATTTTAGGGGTTGAAAACCGAGATTTTGCCTTCATCCGGTTTTACCTCAAAACTGGTTGGAACGATGATCAACTACAATGACTCCAGTCTAACCGTGGGTCATACAGGGTGAATGCATATTCCTGATTTTTATACTAGCTCGGCGGCTAGGTCCCAGTGGAACTGCTTAAACTGACCGGGCTAAGCCAAGTTTAAAAATATTAGTTTCAGGTTTTGAGGAACTGAAACCCGCCAGTTCGGATTCTTTCAAAAAATGTAGGATACTCGGAACCGATACCCCTAACATTCAGCACACTCCACATCTTTTCACAAATTTATTCACAGGAACTGATTAATAAGTCATTGAGCTGCATTCCAGATATTTCCCATAAACATCAAGGGTTCAGCAGGAAGCCTTGTGACCTTAGTTCACTGGTTCTGCGCTTTTCTTTCTACTTATACTTTCAATTTATGATGCAATGGAATACATCTGGTAACTAAATACCCCTCGCCACGCCACCCTTG